TTTGCCGGTTGCACAGGAATTCGAGGTTTATTCTGGTAATCAAATCCTTGAGGAGAGGTGAGCACCCCCACACTCTCCTGATATAAATGAGTATTCATATCACACTGTAATACTAGTGCAGAAACTAAGAACTTCACTATACACAATTTTAAATGACAGTGACTCGTCTTAAAGAAGGTACAAATCGACAAACAAGTGCTCGAGATCAATTATTTGAAAGTTTAAGACAATTGAGAGGTAAACAACATTTTTTCTTATTTTTTCAGCTATTCGATTCCATCTAACACATTGTTACATCGAGAAATACTTTGGTTCTGATAGGGATACTTAGCTCTGAGGCAAGATAGAATGTGTAGATATCCCATATAGGTGGCTTCCGAAGTACTTCCAAAATACATAACTGTTACCTAAGTTAAACTATACATTTTGTATGATATTCTATTCAGTTACCTATAATTCCCCAACTACTAATAACTAATAGTACTTCTGTTATTGGTTATTGACTACTAAGGAACTACAACAAGATGAACTACTATTAGTATAATTACAGCACATAACTCTCTGTAGGCCTTCCCCCACAGCAGCATGGGGGGAGTCTCACAGGCGAGGAGTGGCGCATCCTCCTCCTAGGGGGATAGCTGGGCGTGGGGAAGACATCACTTATCCTCTCGCTGGTGTCAGAGGAATTCCCAGAGCAAGTACCCCCACGACGTGCTGGAGTAGAAAGCCACCCACCTGATGTCACGCCAGAGAAGGTTCCTACGCATATTGTGGATTATTCAGGTGATTTTTTGTTTTATCCTTATTAACCCCCCCTCTCCCCCCTCTCTAGCATTGTCTCCTTTTTTTTTAATGAATTATATCTTGTGGAAATGTTTCCACAATTTTCTCATAAATATCATAACTAGTTAATTAATTAATATGGTACAGTTACTTAATCTAATAGTACTAAAATATCATTATTCTGGTGATTCTTTCTTCCTGTTTGTTCTTTAGTCTTAGTTCTCATTCAAGAATGTATCAAATACACCAGGAATAAATTCACATGGTGGATTGAATAACAAATCACACTTATTTTCCACCACTTTAATGATAAAATGATTCTATAGTTCACTGATTACACTGGCACAGATCTATGAAGCTATTACTGAGTGAGCGAGAGCTTCATTTTGTATACGCGTTTTATGCTGAGTGAGGTACTTTTACTAGCCTCACACAGTTCCTTAAAATTCACACTTAATCATGCCTGAACATACAGATAATATTTATTCATGTCAATAACAATATTGAATATCAACTATACATGCCCATGTTATGATTTCAAAAGTGATAAG